CTGGCCTGGCTCACAGGAGGATGAAGGTGGGATTCTGCGGGATCTGGGGAGCCAAGGGGACCCCTGGTCCTGCGTTTGAGACCACGACAGACCAACTTCAGTCTCTCTTGTGCGTCTCCACACATGGATAGGAGGGGGCCCGCTCATGCCGTCCGTCTGGACCTGGTGCCTCCCCTTAGGGGTGGGTGACCTTGGTCCACATGCCATTTGGTTGGGTGGAGGCCCCAAGACCTTGGGCCCGAGAGCCGCCAGCAGAGCTGGTGCGGTGCTCCTCCTGACCTGGACCCAGGACCCCCGGATCCCGACTGGCCCCCTGCCCCAGGCCCCCCTGCCCTGGCCTGCTGCCAGCTGTCTTGAGGGGAAACAGAGAGGCTGTGAGCACTAAAGCAAACCAGCATCCCCAGCCGAAGAGAAGGAGGGAAGACGCCTAATAACCTTCCAAAAACCCGAGGGTGCAGTTGCTGCTTTGAAGGAGCCTCAGCACCGGTGCTGCCTGGGCTCCTAGAAGCCACAGGAAGGAGTCCAGACACACAGGGCAAAGGGAGCCAAGGATGCGAGTGAGCAGCCCCGGGAAACAACAGGCCCCTGGCCCCTGAGCATAGGAAAGATGCTCAGACTCACGCATTACAGGAGCCGTGCAAATTAAAGTTATTCTGAGGTATCACTTTTTTTACCCCATTGATTTAACAAAAATCCAAGTTCAATAACATAATCTGTTGGCGAAGCTGAGAGGAGCAGGCACGTCACTGGATGTACAGGTGACCTGCCCCCTTGGAGGGCAGTGTGGCAGGATCTAGCAAAGTCACAAACGCATCTCCCCTTCACCGGGCACTCCCCCAGCGGTGGCATCACCCACTACCGCGTGTGTGTGTGTGTGTGTGTGTGTGTGTGTGTGTGTGTCATTTGTACAAAGACACCTCTGGAAGGATGTGTAACCAACAAACATAACTGAGATCCAAGACAGAAAATAAGAGGAAGGGTTTTCATTGCAAACTTTTTTATATTGTTTTGATTTTTTAACCAAAAATTATTACAAATTGAATGCTTCAATACCTATTCAAAGAATTTTTAAAAAGAAAGAAAAAGTTTAGGGATCTGTTCCCTGCCAGCAAGCCCAAACCAAGGTGATGGCAGGAAAGTTGGCGTTGCGTGAGGCAGAGTAGACAGATGGGGGTGTTTCCCTTTGGGGGACAGAGGCTCTGCTACCTATGATCTAAGTCTACGAAATTATGAAGCCATGTGAGCAGGAATAAGTGGAATCCCTCCCTCACGAAACAAACATGCACAGATGTTTCATGCTCAATAAAATAACAATATTTATTCCATTTTTAAATAACACTTTTCCCACAAAGAACTCAAACATAAATAGGTAGAACTTAGAACTTAGAACAACAAACTTTCTTAATACCTGTAGCACTTCTAAAATGGAGGAGAGAGGGAATATGAGATAGACAGAAAGGAAAATGGGGCACTGAGGATCTGGACATGGGCACCCAGAGTGGGGCCAACAGGTGGCTGGGGGTACCCAGGGAGGGGCCCAGGAGAAAGTGTCCATTTCTGTGACCTCTGGTTTGAGGACGAGGTTCGGTTTCACTCGTGGAAGGAAATGCTCAAGGTTTCCTTACGAGGAGCCCTGGGACCATCCACAGCGCCACCTCGGTGCGCCTTGGGCCCTACCATGAGGCCATCGCAGACGTCACCGCCGGTGCTCTGAACAGACAAATGGTCAGTGAGTCCTCAGTTCTCCAACAAACCAGCCATAAACCAGCAGTGACAGGTACAAAGAGAGGGAGCCGGAGAAGGGTCTTCTTCCCACCTGTGCCCGTGGGACTCATGTTTCTCAGAGGGTGGAAGGAAACCAAACTTGGCATTTACATTCCTTTTACATCAAATGGTTGTTCCAGAGAAAGCGCAGCAGCAGGTGACCTCCTCCAAAGAAAACTAAGACAAAATGAGCCAGTGCATCTCTGCCTTCCCGGAGAAGATCCTGTTTAAAAAGAGACAGAGGTTTTTTTAAAGGGCGATAGAGTAAATCCAAAGTTGGAAATTCAGTATTAACATTAATTCAATCAACGCCCGGAACAAGCTTCTTGGGCTGCTTTATGCTGTGCGGGCTGCCAGGGAGTATCTCGTGCGCTTAGTAACGGCCAGGACCTCCGCACAGCCCCCGGGAGTTTTCCTCCAGACGCCGTTTCCCAGCTCAGCCGTCAGCAAACGGGGACCCTCTTTTCAGGGCTGGTAACTGCTTCCTCTGGCTTCCCAGAGCACTTTCTTTGTCCCGTCAAAGAAGCAAGGAAGCTGGCTGTGGGGTCGGAAGAACGGATGGGACTTAGATGGGTGGAGAGGGGAGTGCGTAGGGGCAAAGTTGGAGGCGGCCAGAGCACCGCAGGTTTGTGGGGCCTGTTTCCCTGGGAGCATCGGGAGGAGGCTGAGGGTGGGACACAGCACTCCTCCTGTCCCTGCCCCTGCCCCTCCTCCTGCCGTCTGTTCTCAACTCTGCAGCCTCAGTGGACTTGACCTGTGGCTCCTCTGCTCACCCTCTCCAATGGCTCGGTGTTCCTCAGAAGACAAGTCCCTACGGGGACCTGAAGGCCCTACCTAACCTACCGTATCTTTTACTCCCTTCTCCCAACTCAGCTTCGGCCACACTGGCCTCCTCGCTGTTCTTCAAACCTGCCTGTCTCCACCGCTGTCCCCAGATGTCCCCGACTCCCTCCAATGCTGTGTCAGGGTTTGCTCAGAAGTCACCGTCTCAGGGAGGCCTCCCCTTAGCTCCTCCACTCAAACTGAAAACCCTCAGAATCCCCATCTCCTTCCTTGCCTTGTTTTTCTCTGAAATATTGATCACTGCCTGATAAGCTGTATACTTACTTTATTTTCCCTTTAATTTTCGCCTTCCTCTTAGAATATGAACTCCCTAAGATCAAGGAGCTTGTTTCTTTTCATCTCAGCTGCGTCTCCAGTCCCGAGAAGGAGCCTGGCCCACACCAGGCGCTCAGTCCACATCAGCTGACTGAATGAATCGTTAGTAGCAGGTTAGGGAATTTAGACTGTCTTGTCTGTAACTGGGAATCATTAAGGGATTTTTTCCCCGCTTTTATGGTTGATATCAGTTAGGAAAATTGAGTGAATTTCCTTCCAGTAAGATGAACAAGAAAATGAGCACTGAGCCAGATGCTCATAATATTTAAATTCCTGTTTTGTCACTTAGCTGCTGAGTGACCTGGGGTAGGTGACCAAATCTCTCTGAACCTCAGCGGCTTCTCCTGAAATATCTGTACCACTAATTGATAGGGTTACTGGGAGAATTAAAGTAAAGGAAATGTTCTGTTTTCCTTCTGCCCTCTGAGGGTGTCTTCAAAGAGTACCTGGAAGAAAGTGTTTAATAAATGTCAGTTTCCCTCCCCTTTCTAACAAACTAAGAAGTACCCTATGTGTTACTATATCAGTTAGAGAAAACAGAAGACACACTCAAATTAGGATAATTCAGGGCTGGTTAAATAGGAGACTATCTATAAAGGGGGGGGGGGATGACCGAGGGTGGTGCAGTGCCCAGGGCTGGGAACCTCAGAGTTGGTGCCACTCCTAGGCCTATAGGGACAGGGAGGTGGGAAGTTTCTAGAACCCAAAAGGAAAGAGTCCTTCCTGTAGGGAATAATTTCAGAGACACATTTGAGATCCTAAAAGTGATGGGAAGACTATTATAAAACACACTTTACATCTAAGAAAATGACATGCCCTGGATTTTAAAAAAAAGACCAGGTCCTTGAACCAAAATCCTATGTAACTAAATAGCAAAACATGTTATTTTGAGAACCAGGCCTACCTGAAAATACAGAATGCTTGCAAGAAAGCAGATATGTGGCAGGTCAAGGGCAATTGGCTCAGCAGACAAAGCATGGCCTGCAGGGCTCCTTGATAGGGCTGTCTGCATGAAAGTCTCTTTAAACATATCAAAAGAAGGAAGGGACCGGGAGCATCAATGTGAGCATGTGATTGAACAGGGTACAAAAGGTGAATTGATGATGACTATACATAAAAGAAGTGAATCGGGGGAGGTTTGAGATTCTGTTAAAGTTGCCTGATTTAAGCCTTGAAGCAGAAGACGAAACCCTTCAGCATTTTAAAGCCAAACTTAGGAGAAATTTCTAAAATTATTTTTAAAATATGATGTGGTCTGTTTAAAAGTGTTCTAAAATGAATTTTGTGGCACAGGACAAGAGATCTTTAAAAGTCTAGGTCAAAGCCAGCTTTATAAAATGCCACAAGAAAAGTTGGGCAGGCAGAAGGATAGACATATAGATCAATGGCATCGAACTGGGAGTCCGGAAATAAATCCTCACATTTACAGGCAATTGATTTTCGACATGAGTGCCAGGGAAAGAATAGTCTTTTCAACAAAAGGTGCTGGGACAACTGGATATCCACATGCAAAAGATTGAAGCTGGACTTTCAACTCACACCCCATAAAAAAATAACTCCAAATAGATCAAAGACCTAAGTTTAAGAGCTAAAACTACAAATCTCTTAGAAGAAAACATGGGTGTAAATCTTCATGACTTTGGATTAGGCAATGATTTCTTAGATATGATGCCAAAAGCACTAGAAACAGAAGAAAGAGTAAACATCAAAGTTAAAAACTTTTTTGTGCTTCCAAGAATGCCATCTAGAAAGTGAAAAGACAGCCTGCAGAATGGGAGAAAATATTTGCAAATAATATTTCCTATAAGGAACTTACATCTAGAATATATAAAGAACTCCTACAACTCAATAATAAAAGACAACCCAATTTTTTAAATGGGCAAAGGATCCGAATAAATATTTCTCCAAAGAGATACACAAATGACCGATAAGCACTTGAAAAGATATACAACATTAGCCTTGGGGTGTGTGGGGGGGCGATGAAAGCCACACCACCTCGAGAAACCTCTTCAAACCCACTAGGCTGATTATAATCAAGAAGACACCTAAAAACAAATGTTGAGGAGCATGTGGAGAAACTGGAGCCTGTGTACGCAGCTGGTGGGAATGTAAAGTAGGCCAGTCACTGTGGAAAACAGTCTGGATAGTCCTCCAAAAGTTAAACACAGAATCCTCGCACAGCACAGCAAATCCGTGCCTGGGAATGCGCCCGAAAGAACTGAAAGCACGCCCAGCCGGGCGTGGCCCAGCGGTTGAGCATCCACCTAGGATCCAGGCGATCGGGGTTCGACTCCCGGTCAGGGCCCAGGCCCGGGTTGCGGGCTCGATCAGTGATTCTCATCATTGATGTTTCTATCTCTCTCTCCCTCTCCTTTCCTCTCTCTGACATCAATAAAGATATATTTAAAAAAAAAAAAAAGAAGAACTGAAAGCACATCCTCCATGAAAACGTGTACACAGATGCTCACAGCTCCATTCATCACAATCACCAAAAAGTGGGCACAACCGGAATGTCCATCAACTGGTGAATCAACAAAATGTGATGTGTACACACCACCGAATACTATTCAGCAATACGAAGAAATGAAGCGCTGACATGCGCTACAAATAGCATAACACATAAAAGAGAAAGAAAAGCTGGGGCTGTCCGGGTTCAATTTATTCAGCTGCAGAGGCAACTTTAAGACTTGCGAGTAAAATACAACTTAAACGGTAAAAGAAGGAAAGAAAAGAAGGCAAAATGGAAAAGGTTACATTTGTCCTACTCTGGTCACTCCTGTTCAGAGAAAAATATTAGCAGGACCCATGAGTATTCAGAATTAGCTGATCCAGAAGCAGGAAAGTTGGACGAAGGAATTTCCTAGGAAAAAGTGAAATCTTCCCTCCAGAAGAAAGTAGCCGAGAAGGGAGATGTTACCATCGTTGAGTACGCTGTAAGAAGAGATAGTAGTAAAGACATACTCAACTCCAAATAGTGAGAGGGCAAAGACAAAAAACAAATTAATTTTTTGGTTTAGATAACATTTACTGATCATTTTCTGTGGTCAGGCTCTGTTCTAAGTGATTTTCATAGATTCTCTCATTTCATTTTCACAGCAGCCATGTAAGGCAGGCACTGTTGCTATCTCCATGTTACAGATGAGACCCAGGGAGGTTAAGTAGCTTGCCCAGTGTCACCCAGTGAATAGTAGTGAGCCAGACTTTGGATCCAGTACTGGCAGGAGCCCTAAAAGCAGCACATTTAACCCCATAGGCGAGGATTCAGTGAGCAGCGAGTCCATGTGTAAGTATCTTTTCCGTGAATGTTACGCTTCTGGTGTAGTATTGGGATACAGTTGTCCACTGAGGCCAGAGAGTAAGCTGTCAGGTGAGGTCGTCTGACAGGGGTCCCATACAGAAAGTTTACAGAGGCAGGAAGGTGCTCCCACCTCTCTCTGCGCCCCAGGCTCTCGGGCCCAGGTGTCAAACAGGCGACTCCTGGGAGAAAAGGGGGTCAAATGGTAGAGACAGTATTGAGGTGGTGCACGTCTTTTAGAGCCAGCGGACGTGGGCTCAGGGCCTAATTCCTCAACTTACCAGCTATGTAACCTAGAAGTCACTGGACTTCTCAAATCATTAATTTCCTTATTTGAAATGTGAGAAGAGTAATAGTCCCAGCTTCACTGGTGGTTGTAAGAATTAAACAGAACAATGCAGCCCTGGCCAGTGTGGCTCAGTTGGTTGAGCACTGTCCCGTGCACTGAAAGGCCGCCGCTTTGATTCCCGGTCAGGGCACACACCCAGGTTGAGGGCATGCGCCCTGCAGGAGGCAGCCAATCAATGTTTCTCTCTCTCTTCCTCTCTCTCTAAAATCAATAAAAACATTATTATTATTTTTTTTAATAAAACAATGCAAGGAAACCCTTAACATGGCCCCTGGCAAACAGCAAGCCCTCAATAAGCACTAGTGATTATTACACAACTTTAGTTTATATTCCAAATAGAGTTGGGCTGGGAGCAAGGCTTATTGATCCTGTGAGCCCAGGGAGAAAGCAGCACTTTATATAATCCAAATTCTTACCTGGAGCATCAGTGTCTCCTCTAACTGCAGACTGGTTCTTACAACTCCTGAGCAACTTCACAACGTCTCAATCTGTGTCTAGTAGGAACGTCAGACTCGCATGTTCCACAGAACTCGGTATTTCCCCCAAAACCTGTTCTCCGGCTTCCTCCATCTCAGTAAATGGCACTCCCACCCATTCGGAGGCTCAGGCCCAAGCCACTGAAGTATGTGATCATTTCCTCTCCCCCTGCACGTCCAGTTCGTCGGAGGTGGGAGTGCCTTCCTGCCTCTACTTTTAAATTCACCCTGAATCTGATCATTTCTTACCACCTCCATCGCTACACGCTGGCCCAGCCCTTGGGGGTCTCTGCCTCTCTAGCCCCTGCATACAGCGTACTCTCTGCACCTCAGCCAGTCTCCATTCTAAATGTAAGTCAGCTCAGGACACTCTCCTGCTCTTCCTCTCCAGGAGCTTCCCTTATATTTAGCATAAAACCCAAACACCTGCCACGGCCTCCAAGACCAAGGCCAGCTCCTAGCCCTCACTCCATTCCAGCCATTCTGGCCGCCTTGCTGTTCCTTGAGCCTGTTCCTGTAACACGGGCTTTGCCCTCGCTGTTCCCTCTGCCTGGGACACTTTGCCCCCATGTGTTCCCTGACTCACTCCCTCACTTCCAGTCTCTGCTGAAATATCACCTCCCCAGGGACATCGCCTTCCCTGATTGCCCATCCAAAATCAGCCGCCATCACTGTCCTCTAATGCCGCTTCGAGTGGCATCCTGTCTGGCCCGCCCGCCTTGTCTGTCCCCCTCCTAGATGTGAGATCTACGAAAGCAGGCTCACCTTCTGCCCTGCTCTCCGCCCCAGCTGCCGACGCCTGGAACCGAGCCTGGCATATAGTAGGTGTTCAACAAATATTCGTTTGAAGGAAATTGGTCTATCAAATGTTCACCTTTGTTTCCTTCTTGCTTTTTAGCAGCGTTGTTGTTGGAACCCACCGTTCATGTTTTGTCTCGGGGAATGTTTTATTGAGGGAAAGACTGCACACTGCCCACATTTGGACCAGAACATGAAAGAAGACACGGCGCTCCCTGAGGCAGCAGCAGTGATGAACAAGAATCATCACAGGAGGGGGGAATCGAAGGGCAAGAAGTGGGGCCCTGAGGGGCAGCCACCCTCCCACCACGGAGCCCACGTGGTCATTCTCTTTCCGCTGCCAACTACAGGCGGTTCTGAGGAAAACTAAGTTGGCTGTGGATTTCATCACCAAATTTTATTTTAAATAAGATTTAAAATAGCAATCATTATTCTTCCCTATTTTTCCCCTTATTATCTCTTATAATAATCAGGAGAAACTAAGAGATCGGCAGGAGTGGGGCTCAGATCGTACCTCTGGGTTGGTTCAAGAGGATTGCTACAATCTCAGGCAGAGGTTGTCCTCACTTGGGGAGCTTTTAAAATGCCTGATGCCCAGGCCACACCTCAGGCCCATTAAATCAGAATCTCTCAAGGTGGGGCCCAGGCATCTGTAAATTCTTAAAATTCCACAGGAAATTCCAATAGGCATCCTAGTTTAAGGGTGTGGAGCAAAGTCTCACACTTTAACATGCACATAAATCCATGGGGTCTGTGTAAAGAGGTAGATGGTGATTCCAGAGTGCGGGCTGGGATTTTGCACATCTCACCGGCTGCTAAGTGATGCTGAGGCTCCTAGTCCATGGGCCACAGTTTGAGCAGCAAGTGTGAGGTCAAATACTGACCCTGAGTCAAGTCTACAATTTGGAGATCTAATGCCTGGTAATTCAGACATTATTGACCCATGTATTCTGCTAATTCCTGGGCATCCCAGCCACTTAGCAGCCATTGTTCTGTCTGCTCCTTCTTCTAGCTCTCGGGCCCTTGCTGGAGAAACAGAGATCTCACCTCTTGAACCAGCCTATGATCAATGCTGTCTCCAATGTTTTTCAGCTGCACGGCCAACTTGCGGATTATTTCCTCCTGGTGATGGTTCTGGCCAATGCTGTTTTCCTTGGGCTGAGAAGGCGAATTGTGATCTGCATTAAGAGAAAAGAGACACTCCATTAACCACCTGTGAAATTACTCACCACTAGTTACTAAAATCCATCTTAGATGACTAGAGGGATGAAAACCCATCATCATATTGATTATCAAAAAACAAAGCCTTGCATTGGAATAGATCAGTTCTGTTCACCAGAAATATAATTCAAGCTATGTATTAATTTTTAATTTTCTAGTAGTAAAATCAGATAAAATTAGTAAGTAATATATTTTACTTAAGCCAATATATCCAAAGTATTATCATTACAACATATAATCAACATAAAATTATAAATATGTTTTGCATTCTTTTTATTATACCTAAGTCTTTGAAATTTAGTGTTAATTTATTCTTACAGTACATCTGAATTCAGGAGCTTTTTTTTTTTTAATTAATCTTTATTGTCGAAAGATTACAGATGTCCCCTTTCCCCGCTCTTTTATCCCCTCCACCCTGCATCTGCCCCACCCCCAGGCCTTCCCCACACTATTGTCTGTGTCCATATAAACATATAAGTTCTTTGATTAATCTCCCCCCCCATTCCCCCCGCGCCCGCCTTCCCACTGAGATCCCTCAGTCTGTTCCATGCTTCTGTCTCTGGGTCTATTTTGTTCATTGGTTTATTCTGTTCTTCAGATTCCACATATGAGTGAGATTATGTGACACTTGTCTTTCTCTGACTGGCTTATTTCGCTTAGCATAATACTCTCCAGGTCCCACCATGCTGTCCCAAAGGATAAGGGATCCTTCTTTTTCATAGCTGCATGGTACTTTCATGGTGGGAATGTTCCACAGCTTTTTTACCCACTCATCTCCTGATGGGCACTGGGGCTGTTTCCAGACCTTAGCTATTGTAAACTGCGCTGCTATGAACATAGGGGTGCATAAGTTCTTTCTGATTGGTGTTTCAGGTTTCTTAGGATATATTCCTAGAAGTGGGATCACTGGGTCAAGTGGCAGTTCTATGTTTAATTTTTCGAGGAACCTCCACACTGTTTTCCATAGTGGCCGCACCAGTCTGCACTCCCACCAGCAGTGTACTGGGGTTCCCCTTTCTCCTCAACCTCACCAGCACTTGCTGTTTGTTGATTTGTTGACGGCAGCCATTCTGATGGGTATGGGGTGATATCTCAATGTCATTTTATTTTTATTTTTTAAAAATATGTCTTTATTGATTGCAGAGAAAGGAAGAGAGAGAGAGAGAGAGAAACATCAATGATGAGAGTCATCGATCGGCTGCCTCCTGCACCCCTCCCCACTGGGGATCGAGCCCGCAACCCGGGCATGTGCTCTGACCAAGAATCGAACCAAGATCTCCTGGATCATAAGCTGCTGAGCCATGCTGGCTGGGCTCAATGTTGTTTTAATTTGCATCTCTGATGACTAGTGACTTTGAGCATTTTTTCATGTCTCTTGGCCATCTGTATGTCTTCTTTGGAGAAGTGTCTATTCAGGTCCTTTGCCCATTTTTTAATTGGATTGCTTGTCCCCCTTTTGTTAAGCTGTATGAGTTCCTCATATATTTTAGGTATTAACCCTTTATCAGATGTGTCACTGGCAAATATGTTCTCCCATACAGTGGGCTCCCTTTTCATTTTGTTGATGGTTTCCTTTGCTGGGCAGAAGTTTTTTAGTTTGATGCAGTCCCATTTGTTTATTTCCTCCTTTGTTTCTCTTGCCCTAGGAGATATATAGGCAAACATATTGCTACGAGAGATGTCTGAGATTTTGCTGCCTACATTTTCTTCTAGGATTTTTATGGTTTCACGTCTTACATTTAAGTCTTTTATCCATTTTGAGTTTATTTTTGTGTATGGTGTAAGCTAGTGGTCTAGTTTCATTTTTTCACATGTATCTGTCCAATTTTCCCAACACCATTTTTTGAAGAGACTGTCTTTACTCCATTGGATGCTCTTGCCTCCTTTGTCAAATATTAACTGACCATAATGGCCTGGGTCGATTTCTGGGGTCTCTGTTCTGTTCCACTGATCTATGTGTCTGTTCTTGTGCCAGTACCAGGCTGTTTTGATTCTGTGGCTTTGTAGTATAACTTGATAGCTGGTATTGTGATCCCTGCAACTTTGTTCTTCTTTCTCAAGATTGCCATGGCTATTCGGGGTCTTTTTTGGTTCCATATAAATTTTTGAAGTATTTGTTCTAGTTCTGTGAAATATGCTGTTGGTATTTTGAGAGGGATTGTGCTAAATCTATAGCTTGCTTTAGGTAGTATGGCAGAAGGTAACTTTTCATTGGAAACCTTAGATCTGTATTTAGGTTTCATGAACTTCACATTTTAAAAAGTAGATTAATAAATCCAAGTTGTTCCAAACATACTTGAAAGTTTTCCAACAATTAAGTCAAGTATTAGTTTTTAAAATTAATTAAAATTAAATAAAACTTAAAATTTAGCTCTTTAATTGCACTGGCTACATTTCAAGTGCTCAAATCCCAAATGTGAATAGTAGTCATCATATGGGATCAGTCTGGATCTTCACAATTTTCTAAAGTAGATTTTTCCTTTTTTTTACCTACGATCCTTGAATGAGTTCTTCCAAACTCTATTTGCTCCCAGCAACCAATGAGTGTTTTTAAACAACACTATGAGTAAACTACTGTGCTGGGTGCTTTGGGGAACTTATAAAAAATGAAATGACAAGGTTTCTGTCCTTAAGTTCTCACAACACACCAGTTAGGGATGAAACAATTCCCAAGTTCTTTAGGACTACAAGGAAGGAAGTAAATTGGGGCTAAAGTAGACACAAGTACGGCTTCTTAAGCACAGCAAGCTTTGCATTGAACTTATTTTGTTCTAATAAAATGTGAGGACTTTGATTTCTCAGGGTTTGTATGGAGAGAATAAGCCCTGTCTTCAAAGAGCCTAGTGGGAGAGAAACACACACTACAATTCAACATGCGATAGCAAGAACAGGGTCTGCACGGCGGGAGGGAGGACACCCCAGTGGGGATGGTATCCAACAGGGAACGGGGTCCCTTCGCTCTGTTCAGTGTCAGCTTCCTCTCGTTCAATGTCGACTCGGGAGAGTAAGAGAAGAGTTGGCAGCGGGACTAGGAACGCCGCAGGGTTGTGTTGGGCCCAGAATAAGTCAGTCGTTTGAAAGTGAAAATTATGAAGGGGAAGGAAACATTTAAAAGAGAGGCAGGGGAAACTGGCCAAAAGAGAAGAACTGAGCAGACACTCAGAAAGAAACCAAGCAAGACTCAAAAACAGAAAAACGACTAACCCCCACGGCTGCCTCTGAACCCAAGCCCTCCAAGTTCAGTTCTTTTTCATAAGAATCCTCACCAGAAACCACAGCTTTCTGGAGATGACTAGAGTAGGTTTCTCTTCCCTGCAACCGGACAAGTAATCATAAATACTATATTAATTATCATTGTCCAGAGCTGTCCAATGTCCATAAAATTGTGTAGGAGATTGTATTGGCTATAAATCGACTTCAGGATAAACTCTGAAAGTGAAATTTAAAAATTAAGTTCTTGATAGTGGTGTCTTGTATTTTTGGTTCTGATCATTAATCCATTTCTAATACAAGCTGAATGCAAAGTGGATTGAGCTCAGTTGTGCTCATCCTATACATGGCAGTGATGGCTGGCTAAAGGGAGTTGGTGTATGTCCTGCAGACATTTATATGATCAAATAGCCATACCACCATTTTATAAGAAATATTATAAGATAATGGAAAGTAAATCATTAAATCAAAGCTCTAAAGGGATCATATATTGAAGTGAGAAGTCTTGTGACAAAATCATTAAAATGAATGAAAAAAGCAAAACTCTGTATTATTTTCCAAGTATTGAATTTTTAATATCCAGAGGGAAAAAGTATCTCATTTTATGCTAAAAAGTTGTGTGAATATGTATATGTCCATACAGGGCTCTGAAAATAAAACCATAGTCCAAATGGCCTAGTGGAGAATTTGGAAAAACCTCATGATTAATCTTTTTGTAAGAATAATTCTTTCATAAAGTAAATTAAGCCTCAATGCATTGGAACTTTCAAAAATATTGTTGTGCATTGAGAATCCTAACTTTGACTGGCTGTCCCTTCCTTTGCATCTAGAGAAACCTTTCATCAAACATGCTCTTAAGGTGTTTGTTTGTTTGTTTAATCCTCACTGAGGACATTTTTTCCATTGCTTCTCAGAGAGAGTGGAAGGGAGAGAGAAGGAGAGAGAAACATCGATGTGAGAGAGACACATCAATTGGTTGCCCTCCGGGGATTGAGAGTGCTTTTGGCTGCAATGAACCCAGGACCCTTCAGTCTGTGGGCTAACGCTCTAACCCTTGAGCCAAACCAGCCAGGGTGCTCTCAAGGTTTTTTAAGAGCTATAAAGTGAATATTTTATTTCTCATATGATAGGCATCCTTCGATATTCTCGATTGTGCTCACTAAAAAGAGAGGTCCAGGGACTTCTGGTTCAAGTCTGAACACAAGCATTGGCCTCTCCATTTCTCCACACCCCTCCAAAACCGCACCAAAGAGTAAAAAATAATAAAACCACGGCAATGAAGAGGATGGAAGGCAAGGTCAACAGCAGATGAGAGGCCTGTACATGTCTGTGAAAGGCAGAGGGAGATGAGACAAATGATCCAAGCAGAGGAAGCACCAGGAGGCCCATCTACCCACGAAGACCCCGAGGCTGGGAGAGGGAGACATGCCACTGGCTGGCGGTCTGACGGGGATCAGCTGCACACTTGGTGCCCTTGCCATCCCAGTCCACTACGCCCAGCACAGATATCAGGCAATCAATCAATCAATCAATCGAACCCAGACCACTCTTCCCCAATGGAAGAGAACACATCTTACAGAAGAGGCTAAAGCTCCTTTATGAACGCTGGCACTTCGGGTTGCATGCCTCTGTGTTCTGGTGCGTGAGGACCCTGGGGCCAGAAAGCTGCTCCCTAACTCACCTCCCCAAAGCCTCCCCTCCCCCAACTCAGAGCCCCCCCGTGCTCCAGTCCCGCTCCCCTGGGAGC